TTTCCACCAGTTCTCTCCTTTTAGAAGTTTCTTCTTTTTAAGTCCTGTGTGACAGCACTGGACTTTTTCCAGGAGTCTCCCAGCCTTTTTCTCTAGGTGCCCTCCCACCCCATGAGGTCTGAGGCAGAGGTCCTGCTCCAGGAGCCCCCCGTGAAGATCAGGAGTGTGCTTACTCAGAGGAGGGCCTTTTCTGCAGTGGCACCCCAACTATGAGTTTCATCTGGCACCAACATAGAAGCATAGAAACAGTGAGTCAGAAGGGGCCTCCAGGGCCATCTACTCTGACCCCTGGCTCCAGCCAGCTCTGCTCACAACATGCCCACCATGTGCATGTCCAGTCTGTCCTTGGACACCCTCACAAGTGGGGCCTCAACCTTCTCCTGTGGAAGCCCATTCCACACCCTCGGGAGCCTGACTGTCAGGAAGTGCTTCCTGGCATCTAAATGGAACCTTGGTTCCCTGAGCTTCGCTCTGTTGGAGCGCGTCCTGCCTTCCTCTGCAGGGGAGAACAGGTCTCTACCCACCTTCATGTGACATCTCCTCACATACCTGTATGTCCCCAACAGATCCCCTCTGAGCCGCCTCTCCTCCAGGCTGAAGAGACCCAGTTCCCTCAGTCTCTCCTCATACGGCATCCCCTGCAAACTGGCCACCAACCTTGTGGCCCTACACTGCACTGACTCCAACCTGGCTATATCCTTCCTGTAACGAGGGGCCCAAAACTGAGCACAATACTCCAGTTGCAGGTACACCAGAGTCATACAGAGTGACAGTAATACCTCTCTTGATCTAGAAGCCACACTTCTGGCTATGCAACCAAGGGTGGCGTTTGCCCTCTTGACCACTGCATCACACGGCTGGCTCATGTTCAGCCTGCAGTCAACCAGCCCCCCGAGGTCCCTTTCACAAGTGCTGCTCTCCAGCCACTTGTCCCCTAACCTGTACTTATGACACCTATTCCAATGCCCCAAGTGCAAGACCTTGCACTTATCCACATCGAACGCCATCCTGTTGTCCCCTGCCCACTTCCATAGTCTGTCCAGATCTTTTTGGATCTGGAGTACCTGCTCCTCAGTTGTGGCCACTGCCCCAGTTTTAGTATCGTCTGCGAATTTGATCAGCAGACTGTTCACCCCTTCTTCCATGTCAAT